TGAAGGGGATATTTGTAAACAAATAACTTGTTCTTAAAATTTATGTAATGCATAACAAACCAAACACTTGATACAATACATAATCTCAACATAATTTATCCATCATAACTAATCTCAGCATAACTTATCTTATCATAATTAATTTCATCATAATTTGTATTCAAATCAAACGATAATATTATAACAATGATGACACGAGAATTTACCTTCTTTTCAACTTGTTAAAGCTAATATATAAGTGTTTTTCTGTTTCTTCTACCTAACAAACAAAAGTCCCTATGTATACCTAATAATTTTGTTAAAAAAAATATAAACAACATCCCTTCATCTTTTTTTTATTCATAATTTAACTCAAAAGTCATGGATTCAAATCCTATTCACACCAACTAAAAAAATAAATAGAAGTTGCTCATGAGAAATTGTGTCAATTTGATTGTTTGGTTGCATGGAATAAAACAAAAGTAATGGACGACCTTGGAGTCACCAAAAGTAAATGTTACTCCCTACTCATAAACAAAACAAAAACAGATATCTTAATCATGCCACTAGAAAGAGCAGATCATTTGTCCTCTTGTCTTGGTCATTGGGACCATATGTATCTAATTGATTTGGAAATTTAACACTTGATTATGAAATAATCTACAAAATTCCTAAAACATATACTTAATTTTGATTAAAAGATGCTTTCATCTGACAAATTTTATTTTATAAGTGAACAAGATAGGGACGAACACAACAACAAATAATTGTACAAAAAGTAATATTTGTCGTACCATAATTTGGTGTAATGTCATTGTAAATGATAGAGCCATCACAATAAATGCGTGATTGTCAACTCTTCTTAGAAGCATATGTTTTAATTTAATTACGTACGTTGTTATAATTATTATTACTCATTTATTTTATAGTTGACTCATGACCTGAGTACTCAACTCAGCTCTTTAACAAGTTATATTCATATTAAATTGATACGTTAAGGGACAATAATAAGAAAAGAAAACACAGTTTGAATACGATATGAAACGAATAATAATTAGTTTTAAGTTATAAATGAAGACAGTAAATTTGTTAAAACTTCATTTAAATCCTAAATAAAGTAGTAGTAACAATTAGATCTAAAGTTTCTATAAGAATTCTTCACCAGTATAATTATTTGAACTCACAAATTAAACTACATATCCAAAATGGTGTTTATATAGGTTAGCGCTAAAGTTTTGGTTGGCGAAAAAATTACTGGGTTTATGGGTCATCTAGCATTCCTTATGGGTGGATCCGACTTTAATAATATTTTCCAACAAATTAAAGTTAATCTGAACCGGTCTATTTTCTAAATCAAATCGAATTGAGTCGAGTCGAGTTAAAATATAAATAAGTCGAGTCAATCTGGAGCCGGTGACTTGGCCTAGTAACTTTATACACTCCTGAGTCCCGACCTACCCATACAAATTTTGCTACGTTGGAGCCTAACTAATTCGAATTCACATATATTGCATAGAGCTCCATTCAAAGGAAGTGCTCCCCCTCAAGAACTTTTTTTATACCCAAGACAGGAATTCAAAATCTCTGAACTTGTTAAGGGAGGAGGCAGCCACATCCACCACCCCATATATATGTTTAATAAGAACACGCTATACGTACAAGTCCTTTAGCTAGGAATATTCAAAAAAAGACTTTAAGTTTGCATAAATAGTGATCAACCCACCATGATAAACAAACACTATATATATCTGCAACCTGAAAGTTATTACATTTAAATTATTCCTTAAATTTTCCATCATACACTTTTAATTGATTTAAAAAAATGGACAGGCGGGTGAATGAAGCAGTTTTGAGGGGAGATGTTGAAGCCATTCAAAAATTCATTGAAGAAGATTCCAACATAGTAAAACAAAGCATTGAGGGTTCACTAAACACCATATTGCACCTAGCAGCTAGACTTGGTCATGTTGAATTGGTGAGGGAGATTGTGAAGTTGTTCCCTGAGATGGTGTCCGCGGAGAATCGGGATCAGGAGACGCCCTTACATGAAGCATGTAGAGAAGGGAGAGTAGAAATTGTGAGAATTCTGGTTGAGAATGATCCATCGATTGCTTACAAGACAAATTTGTGGGATAAGAGTGTGCTTTATGTAGCATGTGAGAGAGGGAGGATTGAAGTGGTAAAGTATTTGTTACATAATAATAATATCCATATGTTGTTGATGCTTGAAGTTGATATGTCCACTACTTCACTTCATGCTGCAGCTTCATCAGGCCATACAGGTAAACTATTCAAACTTTGAGTTAGACGGCGCATGCAGTTAGATTTTTAAATTTATGGATTTAGTGAGTTAATTCTGGATAAGTAGTTATTTATATTTATCAAGCGAATTATTTTTTAAATATAAACACCGAACAAAAGCTATTGAAATTAGGCCTCTTTCTTATCAATTAAACTATACTCTAGTAAAGGATGATAATGAAGTTATATTTCAAAAACATTGATCCACCAAAACATATTTTAAATAAATTATATTTTCACGGAAGATGTATCGAAAAATTGTGAAAGATGAGTAAATTGTTGGGTTCGAAAGTAATTAGGGCGTCGACCGTAAGCTTACAATTGTAAATCATGACATTGATAAATCAGATGACAAAAACTAATACTAAAAATCAAAATATTATTATATGGAATTCGGCCAACTGGGCTTCATATTAAAACTTAATAAAAACGTTAAAATTGTAGAGAAAATTTTTTCCATAAACAAAAGTTTATAAACGACTACACTGTAGATGTTATTGTGTTATTTGGTATGAGAATATGGTCTTCAATATATAGAATTTCAAGTTGTTCCTTTAAGGAAATAATAAACCAAATATGAAAGATAATTATATTTTCCTTTCGGAAAAAGCTCCAATAAGATAGAAAAATCAGGGCACAACCCTAACAAAAATAACTTTCACCCTGCCAAAAGAGAACGTAAAAGTGATTTTCTACCAGATCTCAGAAAACAATTAATTGCAGAAGTAGTGAAGGAATTGGCTAAAGTTCGACCTGATTTTGCTTGGAAAAAGGATGAGTTGATGAATGGTTGCAGTCCATTACATATAGCATGCAGCAAAGGGCACTTAGATATAACAAGAGAATTGCTAAAGCTAGATATGGATCTTTCTGGTTTACAAGATAATGAAGGCAGAACTCCACTTCATTGGGCAGTCATTAAAGGAAGAGTGAATATTATTGCTGAGATACTCTCTGTGAGTCTTGAATCTTCTAAAATGACAACAAAACATGGTGAGACTATTCTTCATTTGGCTGTCAAGAACAATCACTTTGAAGTACTCAAGTTCTTGATGGAGAGTCTTGATGTTTCAAATCTCATGAATTTTCAAGATACTGATGGAAACACCATTCTACATTTGGCTACTGTTAGGAAACTCAACACTGTAAGTTTTCTTTACTCTAGACGTTTCATTTTATGTAAAGGTGTTTGATTGAACACACAAAGTTCAAGATAGACTTCATCACGTTTTTGTGGTAATTAATATTTAATATCTGAATTTACAACTGTGATACGTAAATTGAAACAAAAGGAATAATAACCTTCCTTTGCAAAACAGAGTAGCATAAAGAATATACTTGTATATAAAAGCTCAAGGGATCTAAAGATAGATAAATAATATAAATCTTTATTAAAAGTTGGATGACATATTTGAGCTTTTTCCTTAATTAAATAACTATTCATGATTAATGAAATTAGTTTCCTGAATTGCAAAACAGAGTTGCACAACTTGTTTTTGTATATAAGTAATTATACATGACTTGTTCTCTTTTCAGATGATTATTTATCTACTTAAGTTTGGTGTTGAAGTAAATGCTTTGAATCAAAAAGGATATACAACATTAGATGTAGTTGAAGCAGATGCAAGTAAATCTGGTGCTCTTGCAATCATCCCTGCATTACTAGATGCTGGTGCCAAAAGATGTGACCAATTACCACCAATTTTTCAAGACATCCAACAGGTAGTTGCATCACCAATTTTGGGATCATCATGGCAAAGAAAAACTACTAGTTTTCACTCTCCGTCCTCATCATCTCAGCATTCGTATCATAATAATAATTATTATCATCAAAGGAAGCACAACAACAATAATTATCGCGGTACTAGGACAAAAAAAATCAAGCTCCAAAGTGAAGGTCTAAGAAATGCAAGAAAAACAATAACAATTGTTGCCGTACTAATAGCAACTGTGACATTTGCTGCTGGTATTAATCCTCCTGGTGGATTTAATCAAGGAAATGGAAAAGCGTTATTGGGGTAAAAAACCGGCCTTTAAGGTGTTTTTGGTATGTAACATTGTGGCACTTTTCCTTTCCCTTGGAATTGTTAATGTCCTTGTTAGTGTTATCCCATTCAAGAGACGAACAATGATGAAATTAATGGTGGCAACACACAAAGTAATGTGGATTGCTACATTATTTATGGCATCCGCTTATATAGCTGCAATATGGTCAATATTGCCACAAGTAAAGGGGGATTATTGGGTGCTAAGTGAAGTTGTGATCATAGGGGGAGGGTGCACTATGGCTGTGTTTCTAAGTTTGGGGATTTTGTTAGTGAGACAATGTAAAAGGAAGAGTGATTGGAGAAAAAAAAGAGAGGAACATCATAAGAAGATGAAAGAGGAAAGTCCAAAGAGTAATACAAGTAGAGTTGAAGATATGAAAGTGGTGAAGAGAGAAAGTCATGAAGATGGTAGCAACTCAGATGTTGATAGCTCAGATCAAGGTTATCATTTGTATTAATTGTATTGGGTAAAAATTAAAATAGCTTTAACAATAGGAGTTGTCTACTAGTTTGCTTGTGTAGTTGTGTTTATTAAAATTTATATATATGAGAACATTTTTCATTCATATTTTCTCCTTGCATGCATCTCTCCAAAAAAACATAATACCAACCATATTTATAAATTAAACTGTATTGGTTTAAGGTAATCACGAATAGAGGAGAAAATAACACTAAAGCCCAACTAATAGCATCTGTCATATTAGAAACTTAAAGTATATCAACAACATACCCAGTGAAATCTCACTAAATAAGGTGGTAGAATGTAAGCAGACCTTACCACTACCTCGTGGAGATAGAGAGGCTGTTTCCGAAACTAATATATTATTTTCTACTTTAAAGACTTACAAGAATAGATCTATGAATGCAGGTAATTAAAACAAATGGTAACCATGATCTGAGCTATCAACGTCTGAGTTGGTACTACCTTCATGACTTTCTTTCTTCACCACTTTCATTTCTTGAACTGTACTTGTATTACTTTTAGGACTTCCCTCTTTCATCCTCTTATGATCCTCTCTTTTTTTTCTCCAATCACTCTTCCTTTTACATTGTCTCACTAACAAAATCCCCAAACTTAGAAACACAGCCATAGTGCACCCTCCTCCTATGATCACAACTTCAATTAACACCCAATGATCCCCCTTTCCTTGTGGCAATATTGACCATACTGCAGCTATATAAGCCGATGCCATAAATAATGTTGAAATCCACATTACTTTGTGTGTTGCCACCATTAATTTCATCATTGTTCTTCTCTTGAATGGGATAACACTAACAAGGACATTAACAATTCCAAGGGAAAGGAAAAGTGCCACAATGTTACATACCAAAAACACCTTAAACGCGGGTCTCTCACCCAATAATGCTTTTCCATTTCCTTGATTAAATCCACCAGGAGGATTAACACCAGCAGCAAATGTCACAGTTGCTATTAGTACTGCAACAATTGTTATTGTTTTTCTAGCATTTCTTAGACCTTCACTTTGGAGCTTGATTTTTTTTGTCCTAGTACCGCGATAATTATGCTTCCTTTGATGATGATGATTATTATAATAAGAATGTTGAGATGATGAGGACGGAGAGTGAAAACCAGTAGTTTTTCTTTGCCATGATGATCCCAAAATTGGTGATGCATCTACCTGTTGGATGTCTTGAAAATTTGGTGGTAATTGGTCACATCTTTTGGCACCGGCTTCTAGTAATGCAGGGATGATTGCAAGAACACCAGAGTTACTTGCATCTGCTTCAACTACATTTAATGCTGTATGTCCTTTTTGATTCAAAGCATTTACTTCAACACCAAGCTTAAGTATATAAATAATCATCTGAAGAAAGAACAAGTCATGTCTAATTAGTTTTTAGCTTTTGTATACAATTAGTGCAACTCTATTCTGCAATCCAGGAAACTAATTTCATCAATCATAATTAGTTATCAAATTAAGGGAAAATGATCAAATATGCCGTTGAGGTTTTAAGTAAGTCTCATCTATTTCATCCGTTAAAAGTTGGGTTCACTTTTAGAAAAGATTCATCTATGTCTTAAACTCTGTGTGTTCAATCAAACACTTTCACATAAAATAAAACGTCCAGGATAAAGAAAACTTACAATGGTGAGTTTCCTAACAGTAGCCAAATGTAGAATTGTATTTCCATCAGTATCTTGAAAATTCATGAGATTTGAAACATCAAGACTCTCCATCAAGAACCTGAGGACTTCAAAGTGATTGTTCTTTACAGCCAAATGAAGAATTGTCTCTCCATGTTTTGTTATCATTTCAGCAGATTCAAGACTCACTGAGAGTATCTCAGCAATAATATTCACTCTTCCTTTAATGACTGCCCAATGAAGTGGAGTTCTGCCTTCATTATCTTGTAAACCAGAAAGATCCATATCTAGCTTTAGCAATTCTCTTGTTATATCTAAGTGCCCTTTGCTGCATGCTATATGTAATGGACTGCAACCATTCATCAGCTCATCCTTTTTCCAAGCAAAATCAGGTCGAACTTTAACCAATTCCTTCACTACTTCTGCAATTAGTGTTTTTTTTTTTTTTTGACAAATAAAGGATCACTTGATCATGATAATTGTCACACTTGTTCAATTTTGTAAAGTTTGAAAGCGCATCCAAAGATGGAGGACACTAAAGCCAAGTTAAATGACATATTTATGTATTATGTCATTAATAATTTATTAAATTTATAAAGATCCACACGTAGAAAATGATCAAAAGTGCACAATTCTATTAATGGAAAGTTTATATATGTATAACTGATTATTATCACAAGAATCTAATTAAAAATTATAAATATTTTCATAGAATAAAAGCACAAATTTCCCAAATTAAATAAAAAGAAAAGAGGATAACGATAAGAGACTCGTTCTTAATGAGGACTTCGCCCAGACGTAGACTTTGGCCGTCTGAACATTTGAAAATAGAGACCATCCTTTTAGTTTTATTTTCGCATTTTTATTTTATTTGATTTTTATATTAAAATAATTCTTTACTTGTTTATTTTAATAAGTATTAAAATAATTCTTTACTTGTTTATTTTAATAAGTTCAAATAAATTAATTATTTTTTAAATCATGATTATTCTTAATATTAAGTTACTATATATATATATATATATATATATATATATATATATATATATATATATATATATATATATATAATATAATAATAGTTGAATTAAAATTTTGAAATATAATTAATAAAAACAATTTAATAAAATAAGTTTAGGGAAATAATATAAAATTAATAAAGATCAAGTAAAATGAAACGAAAAAAGAGTATACCATTGTTTAGCATGTAAGTTTAAGGGAAAATTGTATAAAATAACAAACTATTAATTCAAATTAAATGTTATAACCACAGTTTTAGTTAATTCTAATTTGGAACAAACACTTTATCATTCCCCTCTCTCCCCAGAAATCTCGCTCGCCACTCTCCCTCGCGTCTCTCACTTTATACAACACAAATGAATGAATTGTGTTTGTATAAAGTGAGAGAAAACTGTATATACAAATACAAATACATATTTCTTTTGTCCTATACACTTATAATTATACAATACAAATCTTCCCATGCCCAGTTCTCTTTTGTCTTTCTCTCTTCCTCGCTTTATACAAACACAAATTATACAAAACACAATGTATAATTTGTGTTTGTATAAAGCGAGATAGAGATTTGATATACAAATACAACTGTTTTAACTCGATTCAATGGTCTACAAATTCAAATTTTATGCAGTATATAAACACAAATAACATATCCATATATGCAAATGCAATTTCATAGACACAGACACCCGATTTATACAAATCACTGCGATTTATACAAATCAGATGCCAGCGATTTTATACAAATCAAAGTTGTCTGTGATTTTTATACAGATTTGATGCTCCATAGCAAACATAGTTTGCTATGGAGCGCAAATAGCAAAACTGTAGCTATAGAGCACTAATATGATTTTTATGTTTGCTAAACCTAAAATTTACTCTAATTTTAATCGGACTTTTACCGAAATTATGTTACGATATAGTTAGACAATTTTGAGTTGTGAGAATAGTTAAGTAAGTAGCAATGATCAAAATTGTATATGTATATAAAAAAAGGGGAAAAACAAACTATTAATTCAAAATAAATGTTATAGCTACAATTTCATTTAATTCTATTTCGTAGCAAACACATTGTCATTCTCGTCTCTCTCCCCTGAATCTCGCTCCCCACTCTCAATTCTCTCCCTCGCCTCTCTTACTTTTATACAAACACAAATGTATAAATTGTGTTTGTGTTTGTATAAAGCGAGAGAGTGTATATACAAATACAAATACATATCTCTCCGTCCTATACACTTATAAAAATACTAATACAAATCTTTCCCTGCCCAGTTCTCTTTTGCCTTTCTCTCTCTCGCTTAATACAAACACAAATTATACAAATATAATGTACACTTTGTGTTTGTATAAAGCAAGAGAGAGATTCGATATACAAATACAAATGTTTTAACTCGATTCAATTGTATACAAATTCAAATTCAAATTTTATGCAGCTATACAAACACAATCATTGATACATATACATAGTAGTTACATATATACAATTGTCTAACCAATATACATTTACAATTCACCTCTCTCCCTCTCTCGCTTGCATCTATCCTATCCCTCCTAATCTCGCTCGCCACTCTAGCCTAACACAAAGAACATATATATATATACAAACGCAACTTTCATAGACACAGATGCCCGATTTATACAAATCACCGTGATTTATACAAATCAAATATTCCATAACAAACATAATCGCAAACTATATTTGCTATGAAGCGCAAATAGCAAAACTATAGCCATAGAGCGCTAATATGATTTTTATGTTTGCTATTCCTAAAATTTACTCGTTTAAAAAAGTAGCAATGATCCAAGTTAGCATATATATATGCATGTCTTTACTCTTTAAGTTATAGTATTAAATAGACATAATATATAAATATGACCCTTAACTTGGCGTCAACTGATAACTATGACCTTTAATTTTGGGTGTGCACATATAGACCCTTAAATTTGTATAAAATTGAACAAATAGATACATTCGTCCTACATGGCACCCTATGTGGCAATTTTGTGTCCAACGCGGCGTCCTATGTGTATTATGTCATGTGAGACATGTGTGTCTACTTGTTCAATTTTATACAAGTTTAAGTGTCTACTTGTGCACAGTTAAAGTTGGAGGGTATAGTTGTCCGATAAAGTCAAGTTAAGGGTCATGTTTATGTATTATGCTTATTAAATATAGGGCTAACCCATCGGTGGCCCCCTAAAATTGGCACTAACTTTCACTTAAGACACTCTAACTAGACTTTGTTCATTTTAGACACTTCATGTAAGGTCTTGTTGTGTCATTTTGACACTTTCGTTACAATCAGCAAAAATATATAATGTGTGTGTAATACACTCGCGAATGACGTGTAAAGTGTCCAATTAAATGAAGACATTTGTCATTTGTGCCCAAAATCATTCTTAAATAATAAATTTTGAGAAAAAACAAAAAGTAGCCAATAAATCGATGACATGTGGCATTTTTTGCCCACATAATAAAAAAATATTTAACCAATTAACAAAAACTATTTTGCTGTCTTCTCAGTGTCTTCTCCAAAATACTAACTTTTTTGTAGAAACGCTATCCCCTCCCCAGCGGCCCTTCTCAATCATACACAAACCCTTTAATTATATAAAAGAATAAGCTAAATCATGGATTTAGATTCTTCTTAATCAATAACAAAGCAATTAAATTGAACGGAAATCATTAAAATTAACTTGAGAAAAATAATTAAGAGAGCACTTACCGTAAAAGCTAAGTTTGAAGGCTTGTGAAGGAAGAGGAAAAATCAAATCCACTTCCATATTACAATAGTAAATTCCTCCAAAAAAGAATTTCATGATTATTTCAATATTTAAATCTTGATATAGGTTTTTTAAAAACATTCGCCATGGATGGAGTTAAGCTTGAAAAATGGAGGCTGAAAATAGGGAAAAGGAAGAAGAAAAAATAATTAAAAATTGATTAAATAAGTTTTTCACGCGCAATAAACGAGTGTATCACACTCTCTGATCTATGACATTGAAACGACCCCAAAAAATGCCCGAAAATGTGCTTCGGAAACACCTATAATTGTAATTTCCATATACCTCAAAATCTGTGCATGATTTCGGAAATTCGACTTCATATTCTTATTCATGGGGTCAAATTGAGTGGGAAATGGGTCTAACCCGAATTTTAGAGCAACCGTATCAAATTTCGAAAATCGCAAAAAAATGCGATTTGGAGGGTCAACTTTAAAGGGGCATATCTCTTAGCACACAAGAAACTGGAAGGGCCACAACCTATTAAATTAAAGCTCTTTGAGTTAGCTTTCCAACGCACTTGGTTTCACCTCATTCCAAGTTAGGATAAAGGAGTTATGACTATTTTCGTAAAACCTGTCTGTGCAGATTTGCAATTTCCCGTGAGCTATTTTTTTTTTTTTTTGAGGCTAAGTGTTGGGGACGTTTTTATAAAAAGGGGATATGTCCCATACTTAGTCATTTTTAACTTCAAAAACACTCTCTCAGCCCTCTCCAAAAATTCCACCAAGATCCTCAACCAAATTCAAAGATCTCAAGCTCTAATTTCGGATTCAAGACTCAATCTCAAGCTTCAATTCTCCATTCCAATCTTCATCAAGGATTCTCCAAAGTTGAGGTATGTGGGTTTGATTGTGGAAATCTTCCTTTCCACAAGTCCAACCATTTATCCTCTATTACTACTTCAAGTTTATGGGTCCTTATGGTTATTTATGAACTCTTGAAGTATGAAATTACTACTACACACCCTATTATGGTTTATTTTGTATATTATCATGAAATGAAATTATTATGTGATGCTTATGGTTTTCATGCTTTCACGATCAAATTATGAAGGTTGATATATATATATGTATGTTGTTGGTGGGCTGATTTATATGGATTTTGGAATTGGTTGGACTTAGTACTCTTGAAATACATGATTTTATTTACATGAACAGTAGCCCACCATGTGTTTGATAAAATGTCCATTTATAGAATTCTTAGGAAATGGAAGGTCCAATGTACGTCATATGAGTCGGATAGTTGTATAATTACTGAAATGATGATGAAATGAACACATGTATATGATTTTCTCTATATAAGTGTTGTGAGTCGACCAAGCCTAGCTCGGGGGGTTGTAGACCCGGGAAACCGTATCGAGGGGTTGGTACCTTGGTTGCCTAGTACGGGGGGTAGTAGGCCCGTATAACCATATCGAGGGGTTTGTACCTTGGTTCCTAGCTCGGGGGGTGGTAGGCCCGGGTAACCACATTGAGGGGTTTGTACCTCTTTCGCCTCTCCAAGGGGGTGGTAAGCCTTGAAAATACTATATTGATGGTCACTCGCCACACATGTACTACGCCCCACTAAATATAATTTTTATGTAAGCATCATTATACATATCATCTCATTAATATGCTATCTATCGGGTATGATTATGCATTTTGCCTATGATGTCCATCTATTGTTGCATTGCATTGCATCCCATATACTTAGTACATTCAAACGTACTAATGCATACTCTATGCCTACATGATGTCACCATGTAGGGACCGGAGCACCGCTTGACCATCCTCCTCCTCGTGGCTAATACGATTTTCTATCGAGGTTATTGGTGAGTCCTCCATTCCGGGGACGTTGCTTATGATCTCTTGCTATGTATAAGACTTTTCCTTTTTAGTTATGTATTGACTATGAGGGTGAGCCGGTAGTTTGTCTTGGCCCCGCTAAGTACCCATGTTTAGAGGTGGTGTTAGACAAGTTGTGTATTATGCTTGAGCTTGACTCACCTATGGTATTTATGTATCATTCTCTTTTTCTCTTGCTCCCTTAGTCCCGATTTCCCCTTGATTATGCTTATCGCTTATGGTCATTTTAATTGCTTCCGCGACCAAGGATGTGTAATGATATGCTATGAGGCTTGTTTGGGGTTCCTTCGGGTTTGCCCATTCGCCGGTCACGTCTAGGCCCTAGGCTTGGGTCGTGACAGACATGCATGCAAAAAGTGTCAAAATGACACAATGAAAACTTACCTGAGGTGCCTAAAATGAACAAAGTCAAGTTAAGTTTTCTAAGTGAAAGTTGGTGTCAACTTTAGGGAGCCACCGATGGGTTAGGCCTTAAATATAATAATAATAATAACATCTTCAAGACATGATGTATGTATTATCACGTCATCCCTTGAATACCTAAATCACAATATTGGAATTTTTTTTGTCCACAACCGTCAGCGTCATATACAAAGTTAGGTGTTACGAAATAATAAGAATTAAATGTGTCCAAAAAATCAATTTTACGTGCTCTTTTGACATGATGAAAATTATTTTCTCATCTCCAATCAGTATTTTTTCTACTTTGATGAAACTAATATCTACTTACTTTAATATGTCAACTACATTTGTCTATTCTATGAAACTTGCTCCTACCGGCACCATTAATTAGGAGTCCAATTCCCTTTTAATTAATTACGACCACATACTCAAATCCAACACGCCATTGATAATACACTACAACAAAAACCTAGATTTTCCTTTTAGCGATAATATTTATTGTCATAAAAATATTTAGTGATAATTGAATTAATGTTATTGCATTCTAAGTTGCTAAAGTTTTTAACAATAATTATATAGAATACTGGTTATAAATATCCATATTATATTATTACGCTAAAACAATTATTGCTAAATCATTTATTTGTGTAAGTAATAAATAACTGATTTTAGTCAAGAACAACTTTTATCTATGCTTATTAATTAGAGATAAGTAAGAATTTTCGTAGAATAAAAGAGGGTACAATTTATATATACCTAAATAAGTAAATTTAGAATCCAACACTCATAAATTCAAAATCCAAGTTAATTACGCCAAAGATAGAAGGTAACAAGTATATGGTACTTATGATCAATAGCTAATCCGAACACCATCATTATAGAGAGTATTACTCGAAGTTTGAACATGTAAAATCGCAGAATGTAATAATTTACCTGTATGGCCTGATGAAGCTGCAACATGTAGTGAAGTAGTGGACATATCAACTTCAAGCATCAACAACATGTGGATATTATTATTATGTAAGAAATGTTTAACCACTTCAATCCTCCCTCTCTCACATGCTACATAAAGCACACTCTTATCCCACAAATTTGTCTTGTAAGCAATCGATGGATCATTCTCAACCAGAATTCTCACAATTTCTACTCTCCCTTCTCTACATGCTTCATGTAAGGGCGTCTCCTGATCCCGATTCTCCGCCGACACCATCTCCGGGAACAACTTGACAATCTCTCTAACCAATTCAACATGGCCAAGTCTAGCTGCAAGGTGCAATATGGTGTGTTGTAATGAACCCTCAATGGTTTGTCTTACTATGTTGGAATCTTCTTCAATGAGTTTTTGAATGGCTTCAACATCTCCCCTGAAAACTGCTTCATTCACCCGCCGCTCCATTTTTTTTTAATCAGTGAAAAGTGTGTGATGGAAAATTAAATGTAGCTTTCAGATTGCACAATATGTATGTATAGTTTTTGTTTATCACAGGGGACTCACTATTTATGCAAACTATTAAGTCATTTTTTTCCACAACTGCAGCAACCAAGAAGATTCCTAGCTAAGGGATAGCGTGCTCTTTTTCGTTTCATTTTCTTATTAAACATATATATATATACCATAAAAAAGATGTGGTGTACTGGATGAAACTGCTCCTTTCTTAACCAGATATTTCAAGTTCAAGTCCAGAATATGAAAAAATTCTTGGTAGACTTGATCACCCGAAATTAAAGGGACTCTATAGTAAAGCTATGTGGGTACCAAAACCAGATAGAAAAACAAAAAAACAAACAAACACACACACACATACAAGGGTTATATCAACTCTAAATGACAAACCTAAGAGATATATGAGGTCATTTTCTCTCTATATAAAATATATTGGCAGGCGGCTCAGCTTCTAGCAAAATGGTGAAAGTCAGTATTACTTGGAATAGTTTTGTATGGGTAGGTCGGCAGTGTATAGAGTTACTAGGCCAAGTCATCGGTTCGGGATTGACTCGATCGACTTATTTATATTTTACCTCAGACTCAACTCGATTAGATTCAGAAAAAAAAAAATACGATTCAGGTTAACTTTAATAATTTGTTGAAAAAATATTATTGAATCGAATCCACCTATAAGGAATGCTAGATAACCCATAAGTCTCTATTAATTATTCTGTCACCCAAAAAGTTAGCTTATATAAACACCATTTTGGATATATAGTTTAAGTTTTAATCTTATTGTTACTACTTTATTTAGGATTATGAATGAAGTCTAATAAATTTATGTTTTCTGTTTATTTTTCGTATATTGTCCCTTAACGTATCAATTTATAATAAATATGTAACTTGTTAAATAGTGATATAGTTCATGGATAATGTTAAAGGAATACTCAGGTCATGAGTCAACGATCAAATAAAGTAGTAACAATAATCATAACAACGTACAGTAATTAAATTAAAACATCTGCTTGTAAGAAGAGTTGACAATCACGCATTTGTGAAGGCTATATCATTATTCCTTTATTGAGTACAACACTTATTAACATAGTTAAGTATTGTTTGAAAGTACCTTTTAGTCAAAATTAAGTATATATAATTTAGGAATTTTGTAGGTACAACACTTATTATCTGTTTTTGTTTTGTTTATAAGTACGGAATAATCTTTTTTAAGCAATCAATATTTTTTGTTCGGGAGAGGTGATTCAACTTCAGTTTATCGAAGATATTATCTTATATATAGGAGGTAATAAATGACACCTATTAAGGTAGAAGGTTAGTAAATAATTATGTTGTCTAGCTTCTCTTTTCATACTACTTTGTCATGCTCTCTTCATTTTCCATTTTCTTTTATGACTTCTTCGCTTCTTATTTCTTTTTCCAAATTATTTTAAAATGCTTTTACTTAGCCGATTGAGTCTATCAAAATAACTTTTCTACCTTTTAAAATAGAGATAAAATCAACTTATACTTTATATATCCTTCCAAATTACTTATAAGATTACTCTAAATATATTAAAATTGTTGTGGTTGTAAACAAAGTGAAGTAGGAAATAAATGTGAATCCATTAGTATCTATAATGTGTAATGAATTACTTAGAAAATACCTCATAACTTCACCTAGGGAGACATCATTATCAATCTAGACGACAATATATGTGACCTCACCTCTTGCATCAACATTATTTGTTCATTAGTAGTCTTTACGTTTGGTGACTCCAAGGTCGTCCATTACTTTTGTATTGTTCCACCCAAATCTTTGAGACGCCAAACAATGACACATAATTTTGTAATCATTTAAAATTTATTGAATATAAATTTATAAAATGATTCAAATTATATTAAATTCATGAATATATTAATCCAAATAAATATTATGGATTAATATAATTGGGTTGATTATTTAAGTCTAATAAATATAGATTTAATTAAAGTCTAAATTAATTGATTTGGGCTACAATAAGCCTAGTTTGCTAAGCCTAACTTCATCTCATCCTAGAGGCCCATTTTCTCAGTGCCACGTGGCAAATGACATGGCATGCTAAGTCAAACAAGAAGCCAATAGGATCATGACATGTGTCGAGGATGACAAGTCCGCTCCATAAAACCCATAAGCCATGTCACTTAAATCTGATTGGCCGAAGGGAATCCTATTCCTATCACAACTCCTCTATTCTAAAACTATAAATAGGGGTCCTCATAATTCAGAATAGAGGACCAAGAGTTTGAACAAGAAGCTAGAGAAAGCTCGTGGATCAAAAGCCACAATTTCTCTACAAGCTACAAGTTCAAGAATTCAAGTGTTCAAGTTCAAGATTTGAAGAATTCAAGATCAAATTCAAGAACGATCAAGATCAAGACCACTGGATTAAAGATCAAGCTTGAAGCCCTTGAATTCAACTAGAAAGTCAATATCAAGATAAAGTTCAAGTCAAGATCAAGTTCGAGATCAAGATCAGGATCAAGATGAAGTTAAAATCCAAGTTCATCAAAGATTCAAGTTCAAGAGCCCTTGAATTTATATTCGAAAAGGTGAATTCAGAGGAATCATTGAGATTGTAACACTTGCACTTTGAAATAATAAAACGATTATTGCATAAAAAAATGCTAAGATATAGTCGATAGAGTAAAGGTCTTAACCATACCTTATTGAGAGACTGTTATAGTTCTTGAAGTACTGCTTGCATTGTCACACGATTCAACCACGGGTGGGATAGCATCGTCTAATACCCTTAATCTCCTAAAAAAAACTTCTTTGGTTGAGGACTACGTCCTTTCCACACATCTGTTGCAGTGTTGATTAACCACTACCGTTCTTACAACTTTATAGCTGCACACCATTGACTTGTTCTCTGCTTGATTCCACTGCAGACCAGGTCCCTTTGCAACATAGTTTATTAATTCATCAAAACCAAGAATACAACACCAAGCAACATATAGCTCTTTAGTTCAGAAACATGTTGTGTTACACTCCTCAAAGTTAACACACTTCAAATGAGCCATTTATCTCTGGGAGAAACTTATCGCAAATAATTTTGCACTATGCTTAGCTTGTGGCCTGTTTGGTTTGCTGCTTTCCATTTGTAGATTCGTTTTTGTTGTCCTCAGGGGCGGACCCACCTTATACCAAGGGGTGTCAACCGACACTGCTTCGTTGAAAAAAAAAAAAAACTACAAATATTATTAATGACATTCCTTGAACAAGTCAGCAGCTCTTTGGCTCGTTGGTTTGCACAAAATGGTTATTCCTTTCAGCGCCTGTGAGTGTATATTCATTTGCTAATAAAGGACATTACTTAGTTTTTCCTTTATGATTTAACAGTAGAAATTGCCCTAGTAGTCATGTTTTATCTTTATAATTGGCTCTTATAAGGACTTATTTTGAGTTGAGTTTATATGACTCAATGGTGAGATGCAATTGGGCATGGAGAGTGTTTAACAATATTTAAATATAGTAAAGTAAAAGTGTATTTGTTTTATACATAAAGAGAAAAAAAGACTAGTCTTATAAGTGATTTTGTTCTATACGAGTAGAAGCACGATAATTTTAATATCCAAAACGATTATAGATAATCATGATGATTTTCGTTTCCATAAATAAAATAGTAACATAAAATAATAAAATTAAATTCCTTAAACGGTTTGTTCATTATTCTTAATCAGAAAATAAAAATCAGAACTTGGTATAGATAGAAAAAGTAAACAGTAATTTTCAAACAAAAAATAAAATTAAAATTATCCACAAAATTCATTTTCATATGTCCTTAAGTAATTTAATTCTCTCACCGTATTTGAAGTATAAAATTATTTCCTCCCAAGTTAAATCTGATACTTTGTAAGAATAACAGTACTTCAAACTCCGACAACATTCGAACACAAAATTAATGCAAGCTTTCGTTTGTGTGAAGGATAACACCAAATAGTCCTGAAATTGGATTATAGTGTCACTTAATTTGTTGTTTGGTTGGTAAGATCGGGATAACTTATTCCGAAATTAATAATTAGTACCGGAATAAGTTATTCCTCTCCTTGGGTGGTATAGTAATCCCGAAATAAAATAAGTAAATGACAAAGATATCCCTTTTTCACATTCATGAATGACATTTTTGTAAACAAATAACTTGTTCTTAAACTTTAGATAATGCATATTATTCTGAATACAACAAATCAAACACTTAATAATAAATAATCTAAACAAAACTTATCCCATCATAACTAATCTCAGCATAACTTATTCCATCGTTACTAATCTCATCATAATTTTTATTCAAACCAAACATAATATTATGACAATGATGACACGAGAATTTACCTTCTTTTCAACTTGTTAAGCTAATATAAAAGTGTTTTTCTGTTTATACCTAACAAACAAAAGTTCCTATTTATACCTAATAGTTTTTCGAAATTATGTGTCAGTTTGATTGTTTGGTGTCTCAAAAGATTTGGGTGAAATAAAACAAAAGTAATGGACGACCTTGGAGTAACCAAAAGTAAATATTACTAATGAACAAATGTTGATGCAAGAGGTGAAGTCATTGTAGACATTGAAATTTTGCGGACTCTACAAGACATGTTCAATTTGAATTGAGACTCTAGAAGGTGTGTTCAATTTCAATTAAAATTCTTGGAGGTCATTCAACCCTAAACCCCAGTTTATGCCTATATAAAGGGTACTAAATTCCCTTAAAAAACATCTCAAAATATCCCATAAACTCTTGGGTATTTTTAAAGATCAAGATCTCGAATATTCCACAAAAGTCATGGAACATTCATATAGAGGTCAAATCTAAATCATCCTAGTTCGAGAAATACGCCACTAACGGCCCTCGAATCATGGATAAATCTTAGGAGAAAAGAATCAAGGGAGAAACAGAATTGTACCCGCGCTATTTATCAATAAAGTTATGTTTCTTCTT